TCGATTCCTCAGCCTTCACCCCTCTCGGAGAGCCTGGCAAGCTACTGAGAGTATCTCGCCTGTAGGACAATGCCTGGCAACCTCCCCGTGGCGTATTCAATATGCCAACCACAGTAACAACGTCTCACAATGGAGACGTTACTGGGCCCACTCAAGCAAATCAATGAACAACAGGAGGACATTGACAGTGACAGTGACATTTGTTATTCTATGTACTCATCTGTGTCTCTTTTCCTAAGAACCTATATGTAAGTGTTCTGTCACAAAGTGATTGGCTAGAGACAGAGTCACAATCACAATCACGACCATCCTGTTGTTCGTCGATTGCCTCGAGCAGGCCCCAGTGATGTCTCCTTCGTCCTAGCCCTGAGAATTTTTTAAAAAGTGCCATATCCAAGGCTCTTTCAGGGTTAGGAGAATGAGACCCATCATTGTTACTGGTATTTGGCATATTGGGTACGCCACGGGGAGTTTGCCAGACTCTGCCGTGTGGGCAGGTTACATTTGGTAGCCTGCCAGTTTGTCCAAAGTAAGAATAAGATGTCACAGCCGGGAGCTGGGTTTTATAGTCTCTGGGTCTTGGCCGTTGATGGGATTACACGGCGCCAGGGGGCCAGTTGGTGGGTGTGACCCCTGCCTACTGGAATATGGAGGATCTGGGTGGAGGATGCTCAGGCCCGATCCGAGCAGGCTTGTAGATCTCAGCCCCAGGTTGAGTTTTCCTCTCCACCTTGACCAGGGCTCCAGCAGCCGAAGACCTCCAGAACCAGCCACCACCATGCTGAGACCACTCTCCACAAGCATGAAGGTACCGGCAGAGGAACAAAGGCATGTGGGTCCCGGGGCTGAGATCTCCAAGCCTGCTCGGATCGGGGCTGAGCATCCTCGACCCAGATCCTCCATATTCCAGTAGGCAGGGGTCACACCCACCAACTGGCCCCCTGGCGCCGTGTAATCCCATCAACGGCCAAGACCCAGAGACTATAAAACCCAGCTCCCGGAAGAGAACAGTGCAGTCTCCTGCCCCCGTGCCTGGCTGTCCTCTCCGGGGCCCCTTGGAGGGGAGCGGGTTGAGTTTTCCTCCCCACCCCGACCAGGGCTCCGGCAGCTGAAGACCTCCTAGAACCAGCCACCACCATGCTGAGACCACTCTCCACAAGAGACAGAGTCAATGACACAAAATTCAGGGGTTGCACTGCCTTCTTTAGGCAGTATCAACCAAACAAGATTCTCAGTGTTGCTCTTTATATACATTTCCTTTCCGTTCCTTTTCTTGCTCCTTCCCACCCCTAACATTCACTCACACCACTATACTCCACTACATTTCAATTTTATCCATGAATCTCAGTAGCTTCTAAAATATATGAGGCTAATTAGGTTACAGGTAAACTGTAAAGGAAAGTAAATAAATAAATAACAGTCTTTTATGAGTCAAATAAGCATTAAAGAGAACCTAGACTGAGTGGCCCATGATCTACCTTAAGGGAACTGGTTTCATCAAGTCAATTTTTTCACGAAGTCACAACACTGTGTTTAGAAATGTGGCGATAAGCTAAAACAACTAGTTCTTATTGTCATTTCAAAACCTACCTTTGAACTCTGAAGAGAATGGCCTAAGCTATGAAACCAAACTTTGAGTTCTGATTGAGGAAAATGAATTGCTATTATTAAAATGAATTGCTACTATTTTTCATTGTTGCTATCCTATTCCTTATTCCTATTCAGCCAGCTCACCAATTTACACTCTATAGTTCTGCTTATGCAACATGTTTACCAAGTACTGTAACATTTTATAGTATTGATAACTTGGTTGTTAGTGTAACTTATCACCACCCAAATGCCCAACATGGTGTCGTTTCTAAAACTTAAACCACTCAGGCTAGGGAGCTAGCTCTAATAGAGTACATGCATAGTATGTGCAAAAGCCCCAAGTTCAGACCTCAACACCGTCCAATGTAGCCCTGGTGAGCCCTGAGCACAACACATGGGGCCCACATTCTTGGAGTGGGCCCCAGGAACTCCAGCTACACTGGCTGTGGCCCTTATAAATATTAATCCATTCAATGTTATTATTTTTCCCTGAAATTATACTGCAGTAAGCAGATTAAATGCTAGGGAGAAGAGCTATGATTTCTTACTCTAAGAATGCTTTTTTTCCCAATAAATTTTGGCACTACTCTCATCAATCATGTCATTGATAAGGTAGGAGATAAGCACTCCCTTGGTATGGTCTGGGAGAAATAATTATTTCTCAAGGGAGACGTTTGTACAAGAGGGATTTTTGGCATCCCTACCACCCTAGTTTTTACTTTCCTAGAGGCGTTTTTCAACTGTTCCAGACAGTTTTACGAAAATGATTGCAGGTCTAGGTGCTTATTTCTCAGAAAAGTGAAGATCTCTAAAAGGAATCTGTCATCTATATGACAAATTCCTATATGACAGGATTGAGGTATCTGCTCAATCCTGCATATACCAATATGAGTATGCAGCAATTTGTACTTCACATGCTTAGATTAGCAAGCTTTAATTGCGGGGGGGGGGGGGTAGGGGGGCGCGTTATGGGCACATCTGCCTGGGCTCAGGGTTTACTCCTGTCTCAGCATTCAGGGCTCATTTGTGGTACCAGAAAGAGAACTAGTGATGGTCACATGGAAGGCCAGTAAGTGCCTTAAGTACTGCACTAGCTCTCTGGCTGTAGATGAATAATCTTTTAAATCAATTAGAATACAAATACTCTTAAGGGGTCACTGTCACTGTCCTCCCATTCTTCATCTATTTTCTCGAGTGGGCCCAGTAACATCTCCATCATGAGACTTTGTTGTTACTGTGTTTGGCATATCAAACACAACACAGGGAGCTTGCCAGGCTTTGCCATGCAGGCGAGATACTCTCGGTAGCTCGCTGGGCTCTCCGAGAGAGGCGGAGGAATTGAACTTGGGTCGGCCATGTTGGCTGCGTGCAAAGTAAACACCCTACCCGCTGTGCTACTGCTCCAGCCCTCTTAAAGAATTTCGGCCACATTCTCCACTACTCTATGATCCCTGCTGTTTATTTTTGGTTGTCTGATTCCTAAAAACACTGAACTTTTGACTCCTGATTGTAAATACACATTTTTCCTATCTAATTTTTCTCTTAGTAAGCTGTAGAGGGCTTCGGTCAATGAAACAATATTGGTACATTTCCAGAATTCCTTCCAATTATTCTTTTCTTCCATATACTAGTTCAGAAATGTACTATTCACTATAGCCAGGACATGGGAAACAATGTGTGCTCATAAACTGATGCATGTGTATGTGTATGTACAAGCAGGGAAAAACTACACAGCTATACAAAATGATAAGACCTTGTTATCTGAAACAACATGGATGGATCTTGAGATGCTAGAGAAATAGAACAAGGACAAAAATTGTGTGATTTTACTCATGTGCAGAATATAAAGAAACTAAATGAACAAACAAAAACAAATCCTTACTCTTATAACAAAATGGTCACTACCAGAGGAAAAGAATATAAAAAATGAAAGATGAATAGAGGAATCCAATTAATGGTAAATGACAACTAAACCTTTGATGGTCAGTATTGTAAACTAGGGGTACCTAATTTTTTAGAACAGTCACTTAATCACTTAACTTCCCGTTTGTCGTCGATTTGCTCGAGTGGGCGCCAGTAACGTCTCCATTTGTCCCTGTCGCGTGCTAGTGTAGCCCAATGGTGTCTGTTCGCTCTAGGAACATGAAGAGCCTCAAACCGATCGTTCATGATCTTGATGAAGAAGTCTGACCATCTGGTAGGTGGGCGGTCACGCGGTCTTTTGACATCCCGTGGAATCCAGTCAGTAACAGCTCTAGTCCTGCGGTCTTTAGAGCAGTATAGGAATATAATCCTCTAAATGCATTTCCCTTACTTAAGAGATAGGTTCACAAAAAATAGCTCCATCCTACTTGTAAAGCCAAAGTCTTAATCCACATATTTTCCATGACAAAGGGCTATTTATTACATGTTTTTGAGGTGGGAGTAATAAGGTGTTTACTTTTGGTACCCTTCCATGAATTGTCAAAATGCTGATCTCACTGTTTACCTCTCAATATGGTTCCTCACTAGGCACTGTACTTGAACCTACTTTATTCAAGGGATCATCTGAGTTTTCCTTCCAGAGATAACTGAAGAAGAAAGAGGCCTGACGCCCCCCCCCCCCACTGACTCAATGATGAATTGGGAAGGGCCTTCCCTAGTCCACCATATAATTTTCTGAAGGCCCCTCAGTTGCTATTTCTTTGTAGATTAACTCCTAACCACCCTGCTTTCACTTCATTTCACTTCCTAAGAGATATCCCAATAGATCTCCTACTAGAGCCCTGTTTCTTGTATGTTTGTTTCTGGACCACACCCAGCAGTGCTCACTAGCGAAAGATTCAGAGGGTCATATGGGATGCTGGGGATCAAACAAGGGACATTTGCTGCAAGGCAAGTGCCTTACCAGCTGTACTAATTCTCTGACCCCTCTAGCCTTGTTTCTTAGAGTCTGTTTCCAGTGAACTCAACCTAAGACAAAGAATGAATCAAGTATAGAAAGGCTGAGTAACTTTCTCACCATACTGACAGGCAAACAATGTACTGGCAGTAAATGCACAGATAATACAATGCTTCCATGAAATGAATTCTTAGAATCTAGAATCCATCAAGTGCAACAACCCTTCCCTTTTCCAGATGAGTCTGAAGCAGAGAACCAAAGTAATTTTCTCAGGGTATAATAAAGTGAATCAGGTATAAAAATGTTTTATCAGACTCCACATTTTGTGACCCAGTCAGCCAGATAACAACATTCTAGTATTTAATCAGTTCTCTTAAAATCTCAAACAGTTAAATAAAAAAACCTACGAGAAACTGGAGACAAAAACGAAGTGATCTTTTAAGCCCATCCTCCATAGACAACACTGCACAGTGACCTTCAGCTTAAGAAGCCATTGAATCTTAAGATGATTAAACAAAGGAGCCATATCTGATTCATAAACAGTAGTGTACTTTATTAAACAAAAACAGTACCATACAGGCAAAACTGTATTTCAGTGGCAAAACACACATGTATGCGTACTCCCACATCTAGTACTGATGCACATTTCAGACAGGAACATTAGACTCCAAGCTCACAATCAAACTAAACAGAGTTCACAATCCACAATCTAATGTTTCTTTAATGTTGTATAAGATTTTACTTAATAGTTGTGACAATATAACTTTTAAAATCTAATTCTCAATCTTACTATGGAGTGAAGCCAAACAGCCCTCTAATCTGTGAAGTGGATGCCTTAATGGGGTCATTTATCAGCTGCTGAAATTGATGTTAGTTGATCTGGGTTGGACCAAAGACCTTGGTACCACCTAATATATGGTGGAAATTCTTAGCTCGAATTTCATTTCCAGGTGCACCTGGATTGATATACATTTTGAACATATGTAGCTTAACAGGGCTAATTAAATTGATATTGCTCATTATTTGGGGGATAGGCCAAATGTTAGAATACTTTAAATCTTCACACCAGTATCCAATCTTAATTTTGAATTTATGATAAGGTTAATTTTGTAAAACATTCCTCTGGTAATCTTTAACTCCTGTTCAATAAAAAAATAGATTATGTTAAAAAGTATTGAGGAAATGAAGATAACAAAATAAAATTCTAAGAATGGAAAAAGATAGGAAAAGCAGTATACTAGCTATAAAATAATTGTGCAACATTCACTATAGGGGCAAACACAATGATTTCTCTTATAAAAGTAGAAAATAACTGAGGCACAATGTCATGCAATAAAAATAAGAATTTGAATCTAGCTTACTTATGTGCTACAGTATGTTCATCAAAATATTTTTTAAAAAATTTGGCACGCAAGAGTAAGCTTCAGCTATCCAGAAACTTGACTTAAAATGTCTCATTTATTATGTGGTTTATCAGTTAATACTGTATACCTGCATTGCATGCACAAGCCCCTTGAATCTTCTCAACTGCTTTTTTGCTCACATTTGTGATTTTCCATATGTTTATATTTTAAAAAGCATTTTATGGCTGAGATCTTTGGAAGGGGTTTTAAAAAATCTCTTTCGAAAATGGTAAGGCCAAAAGTGAGCAATGTTCTCAGCCCAATTATTTCTAAGATAGAGAATTTAGTCTTCATATATAAAATCATTCAATTTGATGTCTTCTATAAAATTTGGTAACTAAAACAAGTGTTCTTATACTATAGTGCTCTCATTTCTTTTATATATTTGGCCATCTCAACAAATAGCTATTAGAAATAAACTAGGTGTTTTCAGTACTTATTTGAGAGAAATTGGCATGTTGCTATTTACCCAGAGTTTTCCCTGTTGAAGATTTATTTACACTAACAAAATTTGTCTAATTCTACTATAGTTATAGGGAAAAGGGAAAAAAAATAAGTGCCAAAAGGGGATTTCAAATAGCTAGAGTGCCTAAAGAAGGAAAAAATGCCCTGAAGTTGGCAGAAATGCTATCTCTGATGCAAAATGATGTCTAGTCACCTTCCAAGAAAATAAGAAAGTGCCCACTGCAATTGGTCTCATTGTGGAGCTAGTCAAAGAGGCATTTAGGGAGACAGTCTTGCAACTACTTTACTCTGCTCACCTGGGGAACTACACAAGTCAATTTTTTAAAGAACATGAGCATTATCCTCTTCAAGAAGAGAAAAACATATCACAAATTTTAGGATTGTGTAGAAACATTATGTGAATTAGAAATAGTGAGAAGATAATTGAGGCAGGAGCCTGAAAGATGCAACCCTGTTGATCTACTACCAGTTTTCATTCTCTTATTCAGTGTGCACCAGCTTACTCCAGGAAGCTGACTCTCTAAAGCTCTGGACCATGACCTCACCATTTCACCACTTGTGGTTAAAGGACAGAAAAAAATATGACATATTTCTGACGAATACTTCAAATGTAACATCTTGAAATTAAGTGACTGAGAACATGGTTGGTTTCATTCTACCATGTAATACTAGCTAGGCACACAGACTCCACAATGGAAGTTGATACTACTGAAGCTGATAAAGTGATTCTTTGTGTTGTTTTTACGATTAGCACTAGCAAACCAAACTTAAGGATTACACTTTGTGACTTCGAAATTATCCAAGGTGACAATCATCAACATTTTGCTTTTGATATAAAGAAAGAACAAATAGAGAGCTGGACACTGGGAGCTCAGGATAGTGTTAGCAGCTTGGATTTGCTTAACACAATAAACAGGATAGTTACTGATGCAGAAAAGCCCATGATCTTCAAGAGGCCTGGAACTGATGGTAGATTTCTTTCCCAGAAGGTTCGAGTGATTTCGACAGATGGAACATCCTAGAGGAATGAACACAGACCATTAGTAGAAAATTTCAGCACCGACAAGAAACAATTAAAACTTCTCTGGACAATCAATGCATAAATAGACCCCAGAGAGTTGCATCTTAACACAGACACATCAAAGGATAGATAGAATGACACAGATAAAGAAGTTTTTTTTATTTTACTTTTTTAAAATTTTTATTAGTGAGACATCATGAGGTACAGTAGCAGACACAGATAAAGAAGTTTTACGTTAAGTTATTGGTCTATGGGGATGAATTTACCAAATTTACCTTTGATTCAGGTTCTTTGGCCCATATATCTTTCATTGCCACCTTTCCAAAAGCATGTAAGACCTGAAAGAAGTGGTTACAGTATTAGCAAAGGAAGCTTTGTAGTTGTGAGATTCAAGCCCGTATCTATAGCAAAGATGAACCCCATGAAAAGATTAAGGGGAAAAGTAAATGTGCAGATTTGTTGGGTAACATTGCTTTGTCCTTCAAGAAGCTTAGGTTTTATCTGGTTACACCCTTTAATCTGGTTACACCCATCAATCTGGTTACACCCACCACAGTGCTCCAGAGGCACTTCCACTTCCATTGTGTTTACATGTAAACATGTAAACAGTCTTTCCTATGCTCTCCTTCCCACCCAGTTAATCAGCTTTCCCCCTAATCAGACTTTGTTAATTTGTAAGATCAGTTTCCCAGAAATCTATGATTTTATATATATGAGTGAAATATTGCCTTTCTCCTCTCCTTATGCCTAATGAACAGTTTACCTTAAAGTAATATCCTTTTTGTATAGATACAGAAAGACTGTTAACATTATGCTTTGTGATTTAGGATTTGATTGGCCTTGAATATTATTCACTCCCGGGCATCTTTCTCGACTTAAGCCTCAGTTGCCCATAGTTCCTAACACCCCAAAAGCAGGGTCCTGACGAGGGACTGAATGGACCCAGGGCAAGCAGTGAGCTACCCTGGCAGCGAAATGGGCCAGGCCAAAGTGCCACGATTCTTAACTATAAGTTAAGAGTTTGATCATGGACAAATGCTGTCATGATCCAAGGTAACGACAAGACTAGAATCCTGCTAGGGGTGGGAAAGACTATCTGGCCTGAGCACCGTAGTCTGAGATCAAGATGGCCCTAGGAGAGCAATTCTATAAGTTTAAGATATTTCTTACTGTATCCATACAAAATGATTTATATTATATTTTATATGCTTGACAGACAAGGAGAGGAGAGGCACGCCCATGGGATTCTGCTCTAGGGTGGGTCCTCCTGCTGAGGAAAGATCTATCCTAGGAGCGGTCTTCCCTGAGGCTAAGATTTCTACCCCTGTTGATCTCCACCCCTATTGATTGTGACCGCACCTATGTGTAATTGTTCCCCCAATTCCTCAGGAGAGAGGATTTAACTGTACTGTAGGAGCGGGTCTGGAGGCAGGCAGAAGGATGAAGAGAGTTCATAGAGGATCAGAAGAGAGGAGGATGAAGTGGGGTGGAGAAGGAGAATGAAGTAGCTGGAGGAGGAAGAATGGGGGGCAGAGAGAGACGGGAAGAGAAGGAAGAAGAGAGTTCAGAGAGGATCAGAACCCAGACTCCAGAGAAGGAGGATGAAGGGGAATGGAGAAGGAGAATGAAGTAGCTGGGGGAGGAAAAATGGGGGCAGAGATAGAGAGACAGATGAGGAGAGAATCAGAATAAACTACGACTAATACCTACCAGCCTGGCCCTCGTTCCTTCCTCCGCCTGACCATCGCCATCGACCTCTCCGGGGTGGTAGAAGGGTGAGACTACCGAACGCGGGTGGCAGGAGAGATAGAGCCGCCGCCGCTGTGGGTGCCGTGCCCCCTACTTGTGTGAGTTTACACACAGATTAATTGGTATGAAGATCTGTCAAGATTGAGTGAGAAAGTAGACCTTCCTCCCTTACCTCTCGAGCTGCCCGTTCTCCAGCCTGCACTGCTCCTTCCATATAACCACTCCAGTGTGTTGCAGTCTCAGTGCCAGCAAAATAAATCCTGCCAACAGGTTGGCGAATCACCCTTCAAGGAAACATGAAGAACACATACAGTTACCTAGGAAGGTGTTGAGGGTAAATGAATCGGTAATTGCCTTTATTTGTTCAACAAAACAGAGAAACTTAAGTGGCTTCAAAAATAGTGTAAGGGACCTCAAATATAATATAGGAGTTAAGGTGCTTGCCTTGCCCAGATCCAACTCGAATTCAATCCCTAGCTCTGTATATCATCCCCCAAGTACTATCAAGAGGGATCTCTGAGCACACACCAAGAAAAAGCCCCAATGGGTCCCAGAGATATTACAGAGGGTAGGATGTTTGTCTTGCATGGGGTGGACCTGGGTTCTATCCCAGCATCTCACGTGGTCCCCTGAGAACTACCGAGGGTGAATTCTTGTAGAGCCAGGAGTAAGACCTGTGTACCACTGGGTGAAGCCCAAAAACTTAAAAGGAAAGAAAAAGCTCTGAACACAGCCAAGAGGTGTGGTCGAAACTTCCCCTCCCAAATACCCACTCAATGGAGAAAATCCCCTCATTTTTTCCCCCAGATCTACACTCAAGAATCTGAACTTTCAAGATGAAGACAATTAAACTGTCAGATCCTCACTAACAGTGAAGCTGACCTTTTCCAAGACAACCAAAACTAGAATGCAATAACATGCATATATATACTCAGGTTTATTTATTCATATATTTTGGTTTTTGGGTCACACCTGGTTATGCTCAGGGGTTACTCCTGGATCTTCACTCAGGGTGGTGCTCGGGGGACCATAGGGGTTGCTGGGGATTGAACCAAGGTTGCCTGCATACAAAGCAAATGCCCTATCCACTGTACTATCGCTCCAGCCCTCATACTCAGATTTACCATGATTTTCTGTTCGTGGTTCACCCTGTTCCCTAAACGATCTTTCCCAATGAGTACATTCTTTATGAAACTGCATATGACTACAAACTCTAGACTTGCAAGCACTGTGAAAAATATCAAGAGAAATCATAGTGGTGAGTGGCAAGACAGATCAACTGATTTCTGTTAAGGGGAAAGCCTGAGGATTTTATGTTTGTTTCCTTAAAAATAACTTCTATAGGAGCCAAAGAGATAATACAGCAGGGAGGGAGCTTGCCTTGTACACCCAAGAATGATCCCTGAGCATAGAACTATACCAATACCACTGGGTACCAATCCCCACCCAAATAACCCCTATATAGTGAACTTCTGTGTATTGACCGGAGTATCTGAGTATTTGAGGACACGTGACAAGGTCCTTCCCTTACAAAGAGGTCTTAAAAAGAAACCCGCATGGCTGGGCTATGGATGCCTATCATATCTGTCCTACCCTGTTGGCTTTGACTTTTGCCTAGACTTTCATGGCATCTCTTGAGCATCCACTCCAAAGGCTTTTTACCTCAATCCATATCACTTTTTTACCCATTCAGGAATCTCTGACTTTATCTATTCCTGATCCTATCACTATCCTCTGGGCTTCCACTTTTACTCCAGAACTATGCAACTAATCAATTCTGATATCACAGAGTATATTTGATGATTCAATTAAAGAAAATCAAACAGGGGTGGAGGGACAGTACAGTGGGTCGGGGTTCTGGAAAACCCGAGTTATGGAGTGAACCTCATATTCAGGTCAGTTTACATCCTAAGAGACATCCCCAATAAATCTCCTACCCTAGCCCTGTCTCTTTTCTTTATTGAAACAACCCTGGTTATTGACCAGGATTTAACCCATGTTACCCTACATGCTCCCCTGAGTCCACCAGGTGTGATCCCTAAGTGCAGAGCCAGGTATAGCTCAAAAATAAAAAGAGAATCAAACAGATTAACATGAAGCATATGTAAAGAAAGGTTAACAAATTTTTATTCCTTCTCTATGACAACCATGACCTTAAGTTAATTTTCTGTTCCCTAGAAATCTGATGAAGGTACAATGTCACCTATTGCCAGAAAGCAATGCTTATGCTAGAACATGCCTCCTTTTATCCCACATTGGTAAACTGGGGAAGAATATTCATGAATTGTAGCTACTTGGTAAGAGGCTGTAACTTTGGGCTTTCCTGAGTATGGTGCTGGCCCATACCTTCCATGCAGACTGGTGCCTAGGGGTTCAAAGTTGTCCTGTAAGACTAAATGTCGAGCTGACTTCAGAAAGGTCCCCTTGTGGAATTCTTGCATGTATCTTGACACCTGAAAGTCAGTGTTCGCTACTGTTCGACAGGATGGCAGCTATTGTTCTATACATTGATTTATATATATGCACATACATAACAGACAACCAGAAATACACATTCTAGAACTTTAGAAATAAGAATATTAACTACTGGTTCTAAAATCCTAATCTCTTTTTTAAAGTTTGATGGTCATGTGCTTTAATAGCTGGCATTGTTGGTATTGTGTCTGAATAGTACCTTCCATACTGAGTCATAATGCCAGGTGGAAAGTAGGCAGTGTAGCATCCTCCAGAGTACTGCTCCTCACACCAATTCATTTCTTCATAGTGTATTGGCTGCAGTTCAGTGCAGAGAAAATTACAAAGGAAAAACAAAGCTTAAATGTTATGGTCAACAATGAAGACTTGTGTTTTACTTTTTTAAATTTAATTTTTATTAGTGAAACACCATGGGGTACAATTGTAGACTTACCAACTTTCATGCTTGGGTTTTAGTTATACAATGATCGAATACCCATGACTTGTGTTTTACTTTAACAAAAAATAGTGTAGACTAAAAAAAGGTGACCTTATTTTTCTAACTCATTACAGGAGAAAAATGACAATTGAAAGTTACAAATGGCCTTATATGAGGCAACAAATGACAAAATATGATTGCTACTGTTAATTAGCCGAAACATAATGTATCCCAGAATCTGGAAGAGAGGATATCTCTACCTAGATCATGAAATCTTTATATCTAAACCTACCAAAAAACCCATCAATAATCTGGTTCTAGAAAGGTCTGCTTAAATCTCTGGGTTCTCTAAATCAATGGTCTTCAACCACCAGTTCATTGGCTGATGTTGGTCTCCAGGCATAGAAAGTCTGAAAAATGCATGCTGCCAACCCGGGTCTGATTCCTGTCACTTCATATGGTTCCCCTAGGAGTAATCCCTAAGCACAGACCCAGGAGTAAGTTCTGAGCACCGCTGGGAGTATCCCCAAAGCAAAAACAAGCCAAAAAAAAGAAAGAAAAAGAAAAAAGAAAGCCTAAAAATCATAGGCTTTTAGTAATTTCCAGTCTGCATATGCTGGGTTACCTGGGACAAGTACCAGTCAGCAGATGTAAAAAAGGCTTCTAAAGAACACTGCTCTAAATAACAGATGTTCTTCCATATCTATGGAAGCAATACCAGGGAGAAAAGAAAGTAGAAGACAAACACAGTATATGAAAAAGTTCTCCCCGCCCACCCGGAACAATTTCTCCTAGCTCAAGAACTAAATGACAGAAATCCTGCTAAAAGAGGAACAATTAAGATGAAAATTTTCTTGAGCCTGAGTAATAGTATAGCAGGAAGAGTGCTTGCCTCACACATGGTCAATCAACCCTGGATCAATCCTGCTATCCCACAGGGTCCCCAGAGCTCCCCCAAGAATGAGCCCTGAGCTCAGAGTCATAAGTAAGTCCTAAGCACTGCTGGGTGTGACCCCAAAATAAAAAGATGAAAATATCTTCCCAAGGAATATGAGAGAGCCTTCACTAATTTACCCTACAAATTATGCAACCTTATTATTTCAATAGTCCAGAGATAATCCCCCAGCTGGGACATTTTTCAAAAAGAACTTTCATTCTGTAATCACTTCCAGTGAGTAAGGGTACTGAAATTCCTAAACAGCTGTACTGACCCTACAGATGGAATAATAAATTTGTATGGCTTTGGCCTTAGCAGAGACTAGATTGATTCTATTTTCATATATATATATATACACACATACACATATATATTATGCTTTCATTAATAAATAGTGACATATTTAGGAGGTCAGAATTTCTGTTCTGGAAACTGATCTCAACCATCCAGATATAATATGACAGCAGCTCCAGGTTCTGATTACAGATGGTTACCAGCTATTTAGTGAACATTATAACAAGGAATCCAGATTAGAAATTGCAATCACCTGTTGCCCTGCCACAGAGGCAGGGGGGGATGGGGGGATGGGGGTGGGGGGGATATTATCCATGGTGGTGGAAAATGGGTACTGGTGGAGGGATGGGTATCTGATCATTGTATAATCGAAACCCAAGCACAAAAAATAGTAAATCTACAACTGTACCTCATGGTGTTTCACTAATAAAAAAAAAATAAAATTAAAAAAAAAAGTCATGCATTAGTTTGCATCAAAAAAAAAAAAAGAAATTGCAATCACCTGATAGCAGCTTTTAATGACTTTTTGTGACTGCAAAAGTTAATCCTTCAGTAAGCATATCCCTTTATACTCTCTTATAAGACTATTAGGAAACTATAATCTGCTTTTCTTTATACTTAGAGCAAATGACAAAACTTGTTAGGGATTAAAAGCTGGGTGTATCTTACGTGTAAAGCTTCCTCGGATCCTAGTACTTTGGCGTAGAGTTCACAGATTTTCCTCTTTCTATAAGGAAGTAATAAGTAGTTAGTGCAGAATAAATCCAATGAGTTTCAGGGCTCCTGCCGATGAACAAGATTTATTAAAGAAAAATTTAAATCAATGGCCAATGGCCTTCTGTAAATATACAAAACAGTTCCATAAATCTTTATACTCCAATTCTCTATGCCTTGATGCAATAAACTGATGATTCCATAGAATTTTCCTTCATTTTTATATTTTATCATTGCACAATATAATATTTGAGAGCAAAATCAGAAAAAAATGAAATTAAATTCAGTTTTAAGAACTGACTCTATCTAGGCAGTCACTTAACCAGAATATAAAAAATTCTAGGAAAATCCCTTTGATAAGTCTACAGTACGTATGATGGTGTCTTTTAACTATTTGATATTTGTTTTTTAAATTTACAAACATAGAAAGTTTATTTAATCTTTTAAGCACAACATCAAATATGCTGTATCAGGGGAGGCTTATGGTCATCCTGTTACTTAACAGAATAATTTATGATGATGTGCAATTTGATATTACCTAAGACACAATCGTTAATTACCCTCTTAATCTGATATGTAAATACATGGTTTTTAAAAAAAATTTATATATTTATTTATATCTTTTCCTTTTTGGGTCACACCCGGCGATGCACAGGAGTTACTCCTGGCTCATGCACTCAGGAATTTCTCCGGGCAGTGGTCGGGGGACCATATGGGATGCTGGGAATAGAACCCGGGTCGGCTGCGTGCAAGGCAAACGCCCTACCCGCTGTGCTATCACTCCAGCCCCCAATAAGTGGTTTTCAACCTTTCACACCTGTGAACCTGCAACAGTATGGATCAGTGGTTGAAAACTAGTAACATATATTACTAGTCCAGAACGTGGAATACATTATATCTTACCAATAAATAGGTAAGGGAGATAGCATGCATGTGAAATTACATTCAAGTTGGTATTTATAGCATGTGAAATTACAAATTTATAGCATGTGAAATTATTTATAGCATGTGAAATTACATTCAAGTTGGTATTTATACTACTATTAATAAGTAGGGAAAGCAGGAAATTCAAGAGAATTTCAATCTTAGTGAGGCATAGCAAAAAGGCATGTCACTCTTGGAATTTTCTTAAGTTTTTTCCGTAAGTTGTGCGACATTGGACTAATCATTCCTCAACAACTGTACACCCAAAGTTGTCTTTACAAACTAAGTGGGTAGATATTAAAAGAATTCCCTTTCATAAATTAAGCCACAGTGATTTAAATACACAATTCTGTGTGCAAACATACGTCATTCTGTAGCTTTTCCCTGACATCCAGTCATCAGTGCAACTCTCAAGTGAGGACTTCTAGTGGATTTACTGCTTCATTTTTAAATTAAATTTGGAGAGAAATGTTTGCATGAATAAAGGAATTTAGTGCTATCCTAAGAAAGGGAAACCTATAACTTCTCAGCTCTGGAAGAGACAGGTGACTATTTCTGGTAAGATTTTACCAAACAAAAGATTTGAAGGTAAAACCAAACAAATACAACTAGGCAGAAAGACAAAAAGGGGGGGGGGGAGAGACTGTTCTAAAAGAACTCATTTTATAATCAGAAGCCACTGGAAAAGGAGTATCAACTGTAGAGGAATTACTTTTATGTATGTAAGATTTCCATACTTGTCAGAGAACCTTGGAAAACTGCTACTAACATTGTAAGGTGACCAGAACTCATTCTCTAAGGCTTTTTTGGGTGATATTTCACCATCTATATTCTGGGAAGACTATTTTTTAACCAGTGTAAAATGTACACAAACCTATGAAATTAAATTAACATGCTACTGGCAATGACTGTGTCAAAGGATTGCAGCAAAAAGCTAAAGGTTAATTCACTAGGATTTGGGGTTTTCCATAAAGTTGTTATTGGTACCACAATATAAAGTTAACCTTTTATATATGTTTCAGATGTAAATCCCTACCTTATTTCCTTATGAAGTTTACCAAGCTTGTCAGCATTGCAATACAGCACAACACAAAGTTAACCTTTTACATGTTTCAGATGTAAATTCCTACCTTATTTCCTTATGAAGTTTAGCAAGCTTATCAGCTTTGCGAGAAAGGATGAAACTGGAAAAAGAGGATACATATGAAAAATTAATTTCAGGGGTTAAAAACTTTCTTTTTGAAGTGTTCTTGGCTCTACCTAGAGCATTTAAGGAGTTTTCCCACATTCTCTCATCATTTTCCACTACCACAGCAAACACCATGCTCTTTTTACTCTGCCTCTGTGTCCCAAATCCCTACAAGGCTGTGAACTCTTAAATAATAGATTATCTCCTGTTCAATATTTTACCCCTCGAATTTAGTACAGTTCTTGGCAAATACTAGGAAATCAAGTACTGGATGGATTAATGTTGTATTAAGTTATTATACTGCTAATCATGGTTGCCTTGTACCAATACTTAATGGAAGCTGGAATAACAAATATAAATAAGTGCCTGTAGCGAATATCATGGAGAGTTATTGAGATCCTCTTTCAAGACTAAGCTGTGCCCTCCGTTCACAGCTAACAATTTTCTTAGAAATAGCATGTTACAGCAAAGAACTGCATGGTTCAAGTCTTCCCTATCTTCAGAATGGCTGGTTCTGGGGCGCAGTGGAAACCTAGGACAGTCCCCTCAGTTCAGTGTGGGATAGTTCTGAAGGGTAACTAGATCCAGACCTTCCTATGGAGTGACTAAGGCCAACATGGGGCAACCTCTCCCTGTGCCTGTTCCTGATTTCTTTCCCTTCCCATGGGTAGTTATCTCCAGAGAACATCTGAAAAATCTCCTGTACCCAAATTTCCATCTCTGAGGTGTCTTCATGGGACACTAGTATTATGGAATCCCAATATTTAGTAAGGTAAAGGTAAAGGCCCTCCCGTTGATCATCGATTTGCTCGAGCGGGCCCAGTAACGTCTCCACTGGAGACTTGTTGTTACTGTGTTTGGCATATCGAATACCTCACGGGGAGCTTGCCAGGCTCTGCCGTGCGGGCGAGATACTCTCGGTAGCTTGCCGGGCTCTCCGAGAGGGGCAGAGGAATCGAACTCAGGTCGGCCATGTTGGCTGCGTGCAAGGCAAACACCCTACCGCTGTGCTATCGCTGGCTGCGACATCTGTCACCCCATTGATCGCCAGGGTTGATTTGGCTGATCTGGCTGGCTAGGTGGGTGTCCCCTTCCTCCCTCACCGCTCCATGTGCGTCCCTCCCGAAGCTGCGCGCTCGGTCCAAGAGGACGGCCTTCCCCGATAGAGACGGACCAGTCTTCGGTCGAGGGTATACGAGTAGCTGCGCTCCCCTGCTAGAACCTCCAATATTTAGTAATTTAGTAAAACCTTACTGTAATCAAGCTGCTTCCTTTTAATCAAGTGGATCCTATTTAGTGTGCCACTTATTAATCACATATATTTTAAAGAACAAAGTTTGAAAAAATAAGATAGAAAGGAACAAAACTGTGATAAGGAGTCCTTAATTGCACTATTTGAAAAACTTTTTAAAATTCAAACTATTTAAATGACAATGGAAGTAATTTCTCCACAAAAAAAGGATGTTTTAAAAATCACTTCTTTGCTTCCTTACCAAACAGACAGGTAGATCAGGACTGAAACTCGAGGGTTGAAAATAGACTTCATCCTCGTCCTTGTGCCCAAATGAAACTGTTTTATAGTGTTGTTATTGAAGATCATCTGGAGAAGCAACACTTTAGTGTTGATCCAGAGAATAGAAGCACTTCCAAAGAAGTTGTAGACTTTTAAAAGCAAGTAAAACTGGTGGCTGGAGAGATAGCGCAGCAGGTAGGGCGTTTGCCTTGCACACGGCCGACCGGGGTTCAATTCCCAGCATCCCATATGGTCCCCTGAGCACCGCCAGGAGTAACTCCTGAGTGCAGAGCCAGGAGTAACCCCTGTGCATCGCCGGGTGTGACCCAAAAAGCAAAAAAATAAAAATAAAAATAAAAGCAAGTAAAACTACTAAAATTTATGGGATATATTCATAATTTTGTTCAGTTTAATAACTTATGTTTTTAGTTTATGTTAAGAATAAATTATTTTAGACACACAGTACTGTCACTGTCCTCCTGTTGTTCATCGATTTGCTCGAGCGGGCCCAGTAACGTCTCCATTGTGAGACTTGTTACTGTGTTTGGCATATTGAATACACCACAGGTAGCTTGCCAGGCTTTGCCGTGCAGGCAAGATACTCTCGGTAGCTTGCCGGGCTCTCCGAGAGGGGCAGAGGAATTGAACCCGGCTCCACCGGGCCGGCTGCGCGCAAGGCGAACACCCTACCCACTGTGCTATTGCTCAAACCCAGACATACAATATATCAGTGAAAATTATAAATAGATTATAAAAATTAATTTTTAAATAAAATAATTTAATTGAAAATCATTTTAGATTTGGGAGTACTTTCCACAATTCCACAACACAAATTTTAAAGGGATATTAGTGTTGGCTATTTCTATCCAATCTCAAGTTGTGAATGAAATAACCTCTTTGATCTAATTATTACTTCAGGCAACTTATCCTTTAACTTTGCTTTATTGAGGAAAAAACAAGCGAGCTTTGGGTCGACAACTTTACACTGCTCTAAAGTACAATTCCTTTCGTTTCCAAAGGGCACTAGTTATGGCAGAGTGCTGAGATTACTACTCCTATCTTCAAGGATGCCCTTGCCCAGAACAAAGAGCAGGGTGGAGACAATCTATCTTGAAGGCAAGAACAGGGTGGGAACAATTATCCATATAAAAGAGATTAAAATATTCATTTTAAGGAACTTCCTAAGTAACCCATTAACTTCCGGAAGGCACTTGCCATGTATGTTATAATTAACAAAGCTGCATAAAGTTCTGAAGAATGAAATATAGATGCCATAATACCTAACCCACAACACAGAGAACCAACTCTAGTCACCTGTCAAGTTATTTCTTTCATTCTCTCCTCAACATGTAAGTTTTATGGGACAAAGAAATAAATAATAGTAAGTTCAAATCAGTTTTGGTAAAGAGTTTCCCAGTAATTTTGTAGCACATACATAACATTATAGAATCATTTTAATACAGGGAAACATGAGTCATTTCTGTAATTTTATTTGTTAGTGCATGAACTCTGTTCAAAACAATATGCTTGGGCAGCATCCACACAATTTAGAAAAAGCAGGGCTTACCCCATGATGGCAGGTATCGATCCATCTGGCTTTGTGTCATCAAGAGTTATTGAAATTGGCGCTTCTTCATCCTCAATAATCATGCACCCACAGAAATCTTAGTAAGAATATCAATATTATAATAGACATTAGAAATTTAGGGAGTGGAGAAAATTTGATGTATATTATTAAGAAGAAAGCAAATCTTAAACTATCAGTCTCTGTGACTCAACCTTAGAGAAGCTAATTCATTTTAAATACACACTGACTATTCAGGGATATCTGTTCACCCAGAGACACAAAAAAGGACACATACTGATGACTTTCATATAAAGGTCACATATGGCTGAAAGGGTAAAATGGTCCTGGAATAGGGGTGAATAGGGGGCATTTTTTTTTCTTTTTGGGTCATACCCAGCGATGCACAGGGGATACTCCTGGCTCTGTACTCAGAAGTCACCCCTGGCAGTGCTCAGGGGACCATATGGGATGCTGGGAATCGAACCCCGGTTGGGTGTGTGCAAGGCAAATGCCCTACCCGCTGTGCTATCTCTCCAACCCCAATGGGGGGGCATTTTGGAGGCAGTTCCCCCAATGGACACATGGAAGAAGTGACAGAAAAAAATTCTTTGAGTGGAGAAGGCTGACCATCTGAAGTTATCATATCCACTTAGACCCTGATTAATTTAATCTGCATAACACACTGATAATAGGTCTTATAAACATTTTACAGGAAGAAGTTAATGTTGAGCAGAGGTGTCACATCTAGAGCTAGTAAGCCTTATCTACTGAACAAGCCCAGAGACATGTGACTTCAAAGCAAGGTTCTTTTTATAGTGATAATGGTGGCCCTGCAACTGGTATAATTCTCTTCTTTCTCTCCCACTCCCAGCACATGCTCTTGGTTAATTTTGTGTTCTTTAGGGGTTACTGAGGATGGAAAGATTGTGATTTTGATACATAACTCTTTTCAGTGCCTAGTATAAAGCCTTAAAAGAGTACAGCTGTTTCACTTTATGTAATTTAAACCAGAGTAAGAGTACTCTACCTTTTCTCCTCCAAAAGGCATCCTTGTAGTACATCATGCACTTGATGATAGACCCCATTGGAAGACGCTGAATTAGCTGGTTTCTCTCTGGTGGAAGAGGGGGTTTGAAATGGATCTTGGCAGTCAAAGCTGGAGGGATTGCACTGATTACGTACTTGCACTAAAACACAAACATAAAAATACCAACTTTAATTGTGAACTACAATCTTCCAGAGGATATGAAATATCTTTATTATTGTTAGTCATAGGAAAGTATAAGGTACAAAATGAGGCTTATATGAGGCAACACAATAGAACAAGGGATCAACCAAAGGTGATAAGTTCAAAGACTGAGTAGGGGATAAATTCCAGTATTAACTATGCAATTGCTGGAGTAGATGATACAAAGGCTAATATTTCCTATGTGCTTCATTTTGGGAGGGGGAAAGCCTCTCAACTGGTGCTCAGCAAGCTTGGGGACTCTCTCTGATACTTAACTAAGTGGTCCACCAGTTAAAGAGAGAACCTGAGGATGCAGTGCTATTCAGGCACTGTAGAAGCTAGGGTGTGCGAACCATGTGGCACTGAGAATCAACCAGGTTTTGCCATATGCAAGTTATGTACCTTAACACCTGTACTCTCTCTAGTACATATGTGCTTCTTCTGACAGAACTGAATTACCTGGTACTGTTCATGATTCAGTGTCTCTATAACGATGATTTCACCTGACTGGTCAACATATGTGACAGGACTGTTCAATTTCACACTGTCCCCAAGCAGGGCCATTATCCGTTCACTCACTTGACCAGATCCCCCTACAAACTTCCGTTCCTATGAGAAAAACAGAGAAAGTTACTAAAGTCCAAGGAAGGAAAATCATATTGCTATTGACTAGAAAGACTCCCAGAACGTAAAGGGCCATAGCTCTGTCTTCCACATATTTAATTGCTGGAGGAATTCATAAGGACAGAGACACAGTCTACAGCAAGGTACCTCAAACATCATGCTCTGCACAGCAATGGAAAAGCAATTTTAGTCTACAAAAGCACAGAATCAGAAGAAATGACCCTATATACACCAGTTCAAATTTGACAGTAATACAAATATATGCAAGTCTTTCAGCTAAAAATGCTCATAAGTACAGTGTATAGAGGGAGTTCAAATGACCCTATATACACCAGTTCAAATTTGACAGTAATACAAATATATGCAAGTCTTTCAGCTAAAAATGCTCATAAGTACAGTGCATAGAGGGAGTTCTGGGAAAGGGAGTATCCTGTACTTCTCTTAACAGGTGCAGTTTCTCTTAATCAGTGAATTCATTCCCTTGAGCAGCGCCCAATGACCATGTTTATTCTGTTCCACTGAAGTCTGCTACTCTCATCATAGAAATCTAAGAAAGTAAGTTTTCAATACAATGTATTTTATAATTATCAGGGGGACAATTTTAGCCTATTGTACAAATTTCTTTTAATTATTAGAAAGGAAATATTTCCTTACATTTCCTTACATGTTATATGGAAACTGAAGCATGGTCCAATATGGGACAATTAGGTATATGAATCATGCTCTTCCAAGAAACCTTAAATAAAAAGAGTCTCAGTGCCCGGCTCGTCCTTCACGCCCTACCGAGGTCAGGAGTTGCCCCCCACGAGCGGCTCTCCAGCACGGCCATGGCTAGAGAAGCACAAGGACTTAATGCAAAGCCCGGCAGCTTGCAGCAGAAAAGTGAATGAACTATGCGTTAATCCATGCCACCATGCCTGCCCGGAGGGGAAAGGGTGTTGCTCCCTTCCGCCTTCTTCCCTCTGGAAAGAAAGATGGCAGCCACTTTGGAGCTTTATGGAAAGCCAGGTATGAGCCGGTCGTGATGGGGTGACTGAAACCTCATGGGAAGGGGGGCATTCCTGGCTCGTCCTTCACACCCTACCAAGGTCACGAGTTGTCCCCCACGAGCAGTTCTCCGGCACTGCCATGGCTCCAGAGCACAGAAACCAATCTCATAATTATCTGACTCTCAGCAGAAATACTTCCAGGCTTAATAAGTAAAATACCAGAAATCCAAAATTGTGCGGCTGCTGCGCAACATCATTTGATTCTTGTGACCAGCTGTAGAAAACAAATTATTTCACAATGCCTTTTCAGCATGTCTGATTTGGGGGTGTAAACTCTAAATAATGGTGCATCTTTTGTCAAAACAATGAATCTAAATCAAAGTAGATAGAGTGTTAACTAGAATTCATCTGCCTCACAGGCACTGGGAGGGTTGAGAGGGGGTGTTTATTGGGGTTCTTCATGGTGAAAAGTAAGTATTGGTAAAGGGAAATGTGTTTAATATTTGCATGACCGAGACTTAAACCTGAAATCTTTGTAACTTTTCCCACAGTGATTCAATAAATTAAAAAAAATAAAATAAAATAAATGTGACTAAAAAAAACAGTCTCAGTAATTTTTGTGATTTTTTAAAAAAAACTGGGCATAGTCTAAGATCACACTCACATTTCTTGTAAAAATATTCACACAGTATAGGGCTGGAGAGATAGTAGAGTGGGTAGGATGCTTGCCTTGCATGTGGCCAACCTGAACTTAATCCCTGGCACTCCATATGGTCCTCTGTGCCCTGCCAGGATTGATCCCCAAGTGCATAGCCAAGAGAAAGCCCTGAGCACCACCAGTTGTGACCCCAAAAGAAGCCCCCAAAAAGTAATCACATGGTAGTTTAGGCCTAAATTCATGATCTGACTTTCCTTAAGAAACTGAAGCCATTTGATTTAAGACTGTTTCTCAAAGGTTTCTTAGACTCTTGCATAGAGGAAAGACCACAAACATATTTCCATTTGGTGTTCAATGACTAGCCCTCAGTGTTTCGTATAGTTGAAATTTTTTTTGTTGGGGGTGCTTCTAGGTCACAACCAATTATGTTCATGATCTACACCTAGCTCAGTGCTTAGGGGCCATGTGGTACCAGGGATCAAACCTGTGACTCCTGCTGGCAAAGCATGTTCTTCACCCCTGTGAGCTATCTCCCTGGCTTAGTATTTGCTTAATTATTAATGAAGAAACCAAAGTACTTTAAAAAATATGTTATAATGCTTTCATAGTCATAATGAAAAATGTACTTCCCAAACAGTTTAGCTGGACATATATTGGCTCTTCTGAATGAGAGATATGAATATTAAACATAAGTCTGATACTCCAGGAAGTAAAATATATGTGAAGGGGATAATGTGGTATTTCTGCCTATTAGAAAAGGTACTTTTAAAATGCAGTTCCTCTACATAAATAACCTAAATTCTTACCTTTCTCCAAAAGGGAAAAAACAGAATTCCCAAAAGCTAGTTAATTCAAAACAAAGCATTCTTTAGCTGTGAACTTAGTTTTAGGATGAATAAAAAACAATTTTTATCTTCAGAAATGTTTGTTGAGATCATTTCAAGCTGCTAATTATTCATGTTTCAAAATACAAAAAAATACTAAGACTGCTCTGAATCAGGGGAGAACCACAAATACATTATGATGTGAGAATGGGCCCTCCATACCTGGCCTCCGTTGGTAACTGAGAATATCCGAGTGGTGCCTCCACACTGTTTCACATACCACAAGAACCACAAGGCAGAGACCTCGTGGGGTTCAGAAGTCACATTGATATTCACGAAGAGTGATGCAAACTCTCTAGCAGTCCTGACACAGAACAAGAACAGAAGTTAGACTTAAATGCATCAGATATCATGTTTTAAATCACAATTTAGTATGGTTAAAAGCATTCTTATTGATTTTGGAAAAAATACCCATGGACTCAATGGCTTAAGAAAAGTGTTTAACTATTGGGTTGGGGGAATAAGGGTTTCTCTTGCTTCTAAGGAACAGTGGGGTAACTCTAAATATGCTAATATGGGGCTAACTTCAATTATTATTATCTTGTCCCAACCACCAAATCACTGTGGATTGTTCTTGGAAAATACCATATTACCACTCTAAAACTTAACCTGCCCAATCCCTCAGTCACTGTGGTTTAATCCTAAATACCTCTCACTTTTTCTGTCTCCCGTATTTTAGTCCTGGCAAATAAATTATTTCACACATTGTATCCCTTCTGTATATTCCATATTCACTATAGCTCATTTCCAGAAGATACATTCTGCCCATCCAATCTACCTCAATATACTGTGGTCAATTCTTAGAACAAAACATCTTATTCCCCCAGCTTTCCTGTCACTCAATCCACCATTTTTGTGGTTCCTTCCTAGAAGACACCATTATTCCAGCCACTCCTATTTCTGCACATATACCATGGCTCCTGTGTATAATTCCTAAAAGATACTATCATTTCACCCACAGTTTCGTCTCCTTCCTATCAGTTCCTGTTATCCATCCGCTAACACTCCATCATCAGTACCTAACTTCAGGAAAGTATAACCCTAAATTTTATATACCGTAACTGTTTCCCACCCACCTCCCAACTACTGTAGAGCATTCCTGGGAGATCCCATTCTCTATACCAATTTACCATTCTCTCTCATATTAGCCATGGTTATTTCCTGAAAGATAGCACACCTTTCTACTAGTCTCTCCCAATACATACACTGTGGCTTGTTCCTGATAAAACACCTCCTGTTTCCTACTATCATTTGCTGCATATAACACTCCCCCCCACAAACACATGCAAATACACACATGTACACCATATACCAATTTTGTTTCTCACCATTTCTACTCACTGTGGTTTATTACTGGAAGACATACTATCTCCTCCCTCCATAAAACCATTCTATTTTTCTCATTCATCTGTCATTTTTTCCTAAAAGACAGTATCTCCTCACACAGCCATTCATCCCAACTACCCAGTTCACTGTGGCTCATTTCTGAAAACAGTGACTCCACAAACATACCCTTTTTGTCCACCCACTTCTCCATTGAACTGGCTACTTTTTGGAAGAAAATGCTGCCCCTACACCATCAAAGATTCTTGTCTACTTCACCCTAACCATTGTGGCTCATTCCTAGAACATTTCATCCACAATAATTTCTTCTTCCCTATCATCTGTTGCTCAAATCCAGATGGCACCATCCTGCAACACTTCCTATCTTACTTTTCTGTAGAAAATTTCTGGAAGATACCAACGTCTGCCTCCCACCTTTGAACTTTCCCATGCCTCAAACTCCCAACTAGCCTGCCTTCTAATCAGTTCCCCATCCACTGTGGCCCCTTCCTGGAAAAAAACTTAAACCTGAAAGCTTTGTAACTATTCCCACAGTAATTTAATAAATAAATAAATATAAAAATAAATAAAATTATAAAAAAAGGTAAGGTGGAGTTCATGCCCAATTCAATCAGCTAATCAGTGGCTGAATAAATAGCAGTACTCCTACATAAAACAACAATAAAAATCAAACCTCCCCTAAAGTATCTAAAATAACTTCAAAGTTGCTGCTGATTTTAAAAAGTTGATTATAGAAAACACTGCAGCTCAGGATAGGACAGAAAGTTTCAGAGGGAGAATAAACTAAAATTTCATATAGTCAAGTATACTTTGTCCAGCAGATTTTATCAATGAAATCTTTCATAGTCATCTTGTCCCATTCTTCTGCATTGGGGGCATCCCAAGGCGCATCAGCTGGAATCTGCAGTGAAAGAGTTGACATTCAGGTGTACTGATTACTGTTAACTGTCCTACCAAGAGGTTCTCAGGAAAAACTCCAAAAACAAGTCCACATTCTCCTTTGGAATGTGTGTTTAGCATAGGATTTTTTGTTTGAATATTGGTGGGATCACGATGTTTAGTTCCTTAGATTCCATAACTTAAACTGTTGTAAAAACAATATTAATAACATATAAATGTATGAATACATAATTAAAATGAAGATAATTAAAAGCTAACACCCTTTTAAAGTTCCTAGTTTTAAGTTTTATAATATTGATGTTATGGAGCCTCAGAATAAGTGAAGAAAAAAGTCAGAGGAGGCAAACTCTTTTTTACTATCTAAAGTAACAAATTATAAGACTAGGGCAACTAGAAATAAGGCATGTGAAAAATGTACCATAAATGCTCAATGGCATGAAACTGTAAGCACACAGGCATTAATATCAGAGACAATGTATCTGAATCCTGATTCTTATGCTCTATGGTCTTGGGGAAAATTATATAAATCCTCCAAGGTAGTCATTTTCCTCATTTCTTTTTTTTTTTATTATTAGTGAAACACCATGAGGTACAGTTGTAGATTTACAATTTTTTGTGCTTGGGTTTCAATTATACAATGATCAGATACCCATCCCTCCACCAGTGCCCATTTTCCACCACCATGGATAATGTCCCCCCCACCCCCATCCCCCCATCCCCCCCCGCCTCTGTGGCAGGGCAATCCCCTGTGTTCTCTCTCTCCTTTTGGGTGTTGTGGTCTGCAAAAGAGGCATTGAGTGGCAAACATGTTCAGTCCATAGTCCACTTTCGACATGCATCTCCCCTCCCTCCTGGGAGGGACCTCCAAACACCCTTTATTTGGTGTTCCCTTCTCTATCTGAGCTGCCCTTTCCTCTAGAATGCCCAATTGGCCACTAAGCTACGGAGTAATCCTCCTGGTGCTGATCTCAGCTATTCTTGGGTATTAATCTCCTATTTTGTTACTTTATATCCCCCAGATGAATGCGATCTTTCTATGTCTATCCCTCTCTTTCTGACTCATTTCGCTTAGCATGGTACTTTCCATGTTGTACCACTTGTATGTAAATTTCATGACTTCATCTTTTCTAAGAGCTACATAGTACTCCATTGTGTAGATGTACCAAAGTTTCTTTAACCAGTCATCTGTTCTTGGGCACTCAGGTTTCTTCCAGTTTCTGGCTATTGTAAAGAGTGCTGCAATGAACAAACAAGTGCAGATGTCACTTCGACTATACATTTTTGCCTCTCTGGGATATATTCCCAGGAGTGGTATTGCTGGGTCAAATGGGTTCTAAGTTGGAAGTACTGGCAAATCAGCACAGTTGTTGGCTACACTAGAAATTATAGACATCAATATCCAGCTTCCTGTACTGTGTAAGGATATCAAACAGTTGCTACCATTATTTCTGTAACAGGTCATGTGCAAGATGAACACACTTTACCTTCTTTCCTATGTCATCCATTGTTCTCCACAGATTGTTATAATCCATATAAGCAAGAGGATTCCATACTGGAGGAAAGGCACCCCGAAATGGGTAACTTTTCCCCTATAACATAAAAGTAAAGCATGATACCATAAGTTAGGATGGTATTCTTAAAACCCCAAACAAGTCAACCTGAGAGCCATCTTCAAAGTATCTTCTACTATATCAAAAGCATTTTTGATAATGTAGGAAAATATATCTTACCTACAGAGATGCCAAATTATCAACTACGTTAATAAAATTTCCCAGGAATATTAGTATTTTAAAATGTATAATAACTTTAAATTTATTTCTGCTTACACAGAAAAAACAAATGAATAAAGGTATCTCATCTTAGTACCTATAGCTGATGCTACCATGGACTGTGGTGGAGGGTTATTAGGTGTGGTAAGATATAGAAACAAACATTTCAAGATATACTACCCAAACATACACAGTTTTGTAAACTAATGCTATATGTTTATAAGATTTTTATATTAGTTAAACTATAAATAATAATTGTCGGGCTACATTACTGTTAGCTTCTAAATTTTTACTGAATCTGTTTCAAAGGGTGTTCCCATTCAGATGTGAGCGGAATATGACAAAGAGTGTTCTTCGACTTCATAAAGAACTGGAATAACAAAGCAAATATCCCAGTGTGCTTTAAGGTTCACATGTGCTAAATAAAGAAAGGTTAGACTACAGACTAAGCCCCAAGTCATAAAATATTTTTTATTAATGGGGAATAATAGCTGTTTCCATTTTTGGTGACTTCAAACCTGTTCTGTTTTCTTAGTAATACCCTATTTTCTTCCTGAGAAAACACCTTTTCTTCTTTGGGGATAGTTCTATACAGATAACTGTCTTATGTACCATTTTCTGTTGCAGAACTCTATGTGTTTCTCTTCCCCAGCACTACTTTCCCCTCTATCCCCTAGTGGAGTCAGGCCATTAGCCTGCAATCTAAACATACTATCAGACAACTGTGGGTCTGGAGTGGGCCACTCAAAGACAGAAGAAAGTTGATTCTGGTTTCTCCAACCTGTACCAGCATGCTAAGCAGATGTTTCCTACTACAAAGACTTATGGGTGTAGCTACAAAAACTACAGCTGTCGATCCTGGTCCTAACTTGCCAGAACTTTCCCAGTCTGCCCATTTTCTAGCTTCCAAATTTGGTAATATTTTTTCATTAATACCTTCCTTTCAGTAAACCCTTTTTCTTTTGCCTGGTTTAGTAACCATTCCTTGATATCAAGATTTCTATCATGAAGATGATGAATTTATGAGCCATTTTTACTATCGTACAATTCCACAATAGATTTCGTGCTATGCAAATGCAGGGGAGGTGCTAGCTAAGGGGAAAGGTGAATTATGAGGAAAAGAAAGCAAGTCCAGGTGGTCTAAAGTCAAACATACTTCCTTTTTTTCTGTAAAGAATAAAATACCTTGCTTTCCATGCTAGAGACCCAATTTTGATTCCTAGCGTCTCCTACTGTCCCCCAGAATCCACTGAGCATGGCCAGATGTATCTCTCAAACAAAATTTTGTTTTGGGAGGTCAAAAGATTATCAACTAGTACACATTTTGCACTAGAATATAATTCATTATTTTTTGGCACCCTGGGGTTACTCCTGGATCACATTTCAGGGATCACTCATGGAAGTTCTCAACAGGCAGTGTGTGGTGCTGGGCACACATGAACCATGAACCATGATGGGCCACATTCAAGGAAAACGCCTTAAACCCTAAACTATTTCTCTGACCCAGAATCTGACCTTTTCCATTGAATAAAAACACATTTAATATTTACAGAAATGTCACTGTGTGCAATGCACAATATTAATAGCTGTGTTTTATTTTTATATAGGATTAACAATCAACAATGTAGAGACACAAAACAGACAAATATCTACATTCATGTGTGCACATGGAATGCATGCATACACACTTCAACTGAGTGAGAATATATGAGAGCCATTAAGAGAAAAAGGAGTAACATTTCCTTTACAGTAGTAGAAAATTTAACTGTCTTTGGCCTATTATGTAATCAGCCTTCTTACTTGATAAAGCTATGTTGTAACGATGCAATATAACTTTCAAGACTCAATACTTTATCACTACCACCTTCATGACATTTTTTGATATTTCATAAATGAAAAATATGAAGGATATTATTAATATTAATATTAGCAAGAAAATAGTAGACTGAAATTTCTTGCTCTCAAAGATTTGCCCACAAATACTGAGCTTCTTCACCTCCTACCTGGCAGATGGAATGTAAATAGGTTTGTTCTAAAGATATCTTAAATTCATCTAAATGAACAGTAACTCTGAAATACATAAAATACAAATCTTGGGTCAGAGTGATAGCACAGAGGTTAGGGAGGCTTGTCTTGTACATAGCTGACCACGATTTAATTCCTAGCATAAGAGTCCCGGAGCACTGTCAGGACTGATTCCAAAGTGCAGTGTCAGGAATAACCCCAGATGTCGGAGGAGATGTGAGTTTAAGGAGAGAGAAAAATTTAGCCTGAAAATCTATTACGAAAAGGGTTATGTGGGGGTATGGTGCCACCAGCAGCTCAATCTGTACCTGTGAGGCGAGTGCATCAGCAGCCTGATGGCGCCTTCAGATTTCCAGATACCCCAAAATTGCTGCTGTGCCTTTGGCCAGACCCCAAAAACTTGGAGCAAAGTTTACCAAGAAAGTAAACAGCCAAAAGATAGGTACGTGGGAAACACACCCACAAACCACCTCTGGCTCAACTATATAATTGGAGGCATGGCCTCTCTAGTTCCTGACTGAACTGCTTAATGGCCATGATCCCAGAGACTCAGAAAGAAATCTCGAAACCCAGCGGCTTTTGGCAGAAACGCGTCTGATCCCTGCAGTAGGTTACTGGTGCTGGGCCAACCCAGGTGGGAATAGGTTTCGTGCCTTGGCCTGTTCCCCCCGGCGGCCCAGTGACCGCCATCTGGGCCACTGGACAGTCAGGTTTGGGCCCCCAGTGACGAGACACGCAGGGCCTCACAGGATGGAAGTGGAGCCAGTCCTGTCCTCCCCACCCCAATGAGACCCCAAGTCATCACCCACAAACGGCCTCTCTGCCTCCTGATCAAGCTGCTTAACGACCATGATCCCAGAGACTCAGAAACAAATCTCGAAACCCAGTGGCTTTTGGCAGAAATGCGCCTGCACCCCACAGTACTTTACTGTCGCTGTGCCATCCCAGGGAGGAAAGGGTATTGTTACTCTGCCTGCTCCCCCTTGGCGGCTCAGTGGCCGTAATCCTTCAGAGGTCATTGTACAGTCAGGCCTGGGCCCACAGTGACGAAACTTGCTGGGCTTCATGGGAGGGGGGGGGGGGAGCCGGGCCTGTCCTCCCCACCCCAACGAGACCCCAAGTCATCGCCCACAAATGGCCTCTCTGGCTCCTGATCAAGCTGCTTAACAGCCTTGATCCCAGAGACTCAGAAACAAATCTCGAAACCCAGCAGCTTTTGGCAGAAATGCGCCTTGACCCCACAGTGCTTTACTGTTGCCGGGCCACCCCAGGGTGGAAAGGGTGTTGTCCCTCGGACTGCTCCGCCTTGGTGGCTCGGTGGCCATCATCCTCCAGATGCCATTGGACAGTCAGGTCTCGGCCCGCAGTGACGAGACATTTTGGGCCTCACGGGATAGGGATGGAGCTGGGCCTGTCCTCCCCACCCCAACGAGACCCCAACTCATCACCCAAGAACGGCCTCTCTGCCTCCTGATCAAGCTGCTTAACCACCATGATCCCAGAGACTCAGAAACAAATCTCGAAACCAAGTGACTTTTGGCGGAAATGCGTCAACGGCCATGATCCCAGAGACCCAGGAGCAAATCTCGAAACCCAGTGGCTTTTGGCAGAAATCCCTCCAGATTTAAGTGTTAAAATTTCAGAATTTCAAAATCACATGGCCCTACTGCAGCCATGCGGCATCATATGTTATTCATAACCAGCAATAGAAAACAAATTGTCTACTGTTGCCTTTTCAGCAGATCTGAGTGTTGGGGTAAAATCTCAAATAATAATGGTGGGTCTGGTGTTGAAATATTGAATGTGATCAAAGTAGAGAGAGAGTAATCATCTGCCCCACAGGTAGGGGGAGGGTGTGGGATGGGGGTATACTGGGGTTTTTGGAATGGGCACTGGTGAAGGTACGGGTGTTTCATTGTATGACCGAGACTTAGACCCGAAAGCTTTGTAACTGCTCTCACAGTGATTCAATAAATACAATTATAAAAAAATGAAAAAAAAAAGTAAGGTGGAGTTCATGCACAATTCAATCAGCTAATCAGTGGCTGAATAAATAGCAGCACTCCTACATAAAAAAAGGGTTGTGGATTATTATAAAAGATTATTAAGATCCATCATGATGTTAATTTTTATCCTTCCGCAGAGATACCAAATTGATAAAGGAATTTCATTAATTTCATTTTCAGCAGTTTCTAGTCTTTGGCATTTTCATTCCACAGACAAACATCTGGTAAGGAAATACATATATGTGGAATGGGAATCTCTTTCTTTCTTTCAAACGCCTGAAAGGTCTGCTTCTTGACAGGATAACTTAAGAAAACTTTTTGCAGATACGAACCACTACAGTAATAAAGTGAAAGGATCTGGAAATGATCTGGCAGAGAGAGAACTACGTGTGAACCAGACCTTTTCTGTCTCTTAGACAGAATAGTAAAAATAGCAAACATAGTAATACTATGGTTTTCTCACAAAAGTCTGAGCAGTTTCTAAACCCTAAACTACTTCTTAGCAAGAATGCCTTTATGTCCCAAGAGTGAGACAGGAACTCAGAAAATCTTTTTTTTTTTTTTTTGCTTCTTGGGTCACAACTGGCAATGCATGCACAGGGGTTATTCCTGGCTCATGCCTCAGGAATTACTCCTGGCGGTCTCAGGGGACCATATGGGATGCTGGGAATCAAACCCGGGTTGGCCGCGTGCAAGGCAAATGCCCTACCTGCTGTACTATCCCTCCAGCCCCTCAGAAAATCTTATGTAAAGGATAAGTACATTTTTTGTGTCTATATTCTGAAGCTT